AAGAAACTCTGGAAACGTTTGAAGACAAGTGAATCACAGGAACTATACTTAAAATTCAAGGAACTCAGAAAGAAAACTAAGAAACTCATCAACTCAAGTTATCAACAGTATTTAAAGTCTCTGTCTGGAAAACTTCRGGAAAACCCTAAGCACTTCTGGTCCTTCTACTCCATGAAATCCAAAACTAAGAGGATCCCCGAAACTGTAATTTACGACAATGTACATTCTAGAGATATGACATCTAAGGTGGAGCTGTTCAATAACTTTTTTCAATCAATTTATTCATCATCTTCTTCAGCTTTTAATCGGACTGATCCTGATGTAATCAATCCTAATTTATTATCTGACTGTTATACTACAGCACAAGAGGTGGAAGGAATTTTAAGTAACATTAATATCAACAAAGCTTCAGGAGCGGATAACATGCCTGCCCGAATCCTTCGATCCTGTGCAACTGAACTATCTGTACCACTGGCTCTTTTGTTTAACTTATCCTTAAGCTCTGGGGTCATGCCTACTTTATGGAAGTCTGCGAATATCACTCCGATACATAAAGGTGATGAAAGGGAACTTGTAGAGAATTATAGATCTATTTCTCTGCTATCTATTTCTGCAAAGTGTTTGGAGAGACTGATGCATTCTGTTATTTATGATCATGTTTYACCTTTCTTATCTGATTGGCAGCATGGGTTTGTCAAAAGAAGATCTTGCGAGACACAGTYAGTTTTGACCCATCATCAGTGGGCGAGGGCTTTGGATGAGGGACGTCAAGTTGATGTGGCCTTTTTGGACTTTTCCAAGGCCTTTGACAAAGTGAGTCATTCAGTTCTTTTACAGAAGCTCTGCAGTTTTGGAATCTCTGGATCCCTTCTTCGATGGTGTGAAAGTTATTTGACGCACAGAAGACAAAGAGTGGTACTAGATGGGGTTTCATCGTCTTGGTGTGAGGTTACATCTGGTGTTCCTCAAGGATCCTTGTTGGGTCCTCTATTTTTCATTATCTTTATAAGCGATCTACCCAAAGCTGTTCTGCCTGGTAATATCATTGCACTTTATGCTGATGACTGTAAGACCTCAAGGATTATTGACTCTGTTGAAGATCTAAATCTGTTTCAACGGGACTTGGATAATCTCAATCAATGGAGTATTCAGAATGCCATGAAGTTTAATGTGAAGAAATGCAAAATCATGAAAATAACAAAGAAGAAGCAACCTTTTATCTCTGACTTCTCTCTGGATAACACTACGTTGGACGAAGTTACAGAATTCAAAGATCTGGGCATAACTACCGATAAGCATTTAAGCTGGAATTCTCATACTGATAAGGTTGTGGCAAGGGCAARCAAGATGCTGGGACTGATAAAAAGAACTTGTAGAGGTCTTGATGATCCAAAGACATTGAGGACTCTATATTATTCCTTAGTACGATCAAATTTGGAGTACTGCTCAGTGGTGTGGTCCCCCCATACCAAGAGGAAYATTGATAAGATAGAAAGAGTACAGAGAAGGGCAACAAAATTTATCTTAAAGACTGAGGACGATTATGACACTCGTTTGATGAAGTTAAATATGATGTCACTAGAAAGTAGTAGAGTGTTAGCAGATGTTACATTTTTATTTAAGBCTCTTAATGGTATAACTAATATTAACATTAATCCTTATATAGATTTTTATACTACTCACCATAATTCATATTCTCTTAGGCATTTTGATAGTTTATCTTTAAAAAAGAAACCTGCTAGAACAAATGTGCTCAAATATAGTTTTTTCAATAGAATAGTTGATTCTT